GATGAATTACTATGGGGGGTGAATTACTATATGGGGGATGAATTACTATATGGGGGATGAATTACTATGGGGGATGAATTACTATGGGGGATGAATTACTATATGGGGGATGAATTACTATGGGGGATGAATTACTATATGGGGGATGAATTACTATGGGGGATGAATTACTATATGGGGGATGAATTACTATGGGGGATGAATTACTATATGGGGGATGAATTACTATGGGGGATGAATTACTATATGGGGGATGAATTACTACGGGGGATGAATTACTATATGGGGGATGAATTACTATGGGGGATGAATTACTATGGGGGATGAATTACTATGGGGGATGAATTACTATATGGGGGATGAATTACTATGGGGGATGAATTACTATATGGGGGATGAATTACTATGGGGGATGAATTACTATATGGGGGATGAATTACTATATGGGGGATGAATTACTATGGGGGATGAATTACTATATGGGGGATGAATTACTATGGGGGATGAATTACTATATGGGGGATGAATTACTATGGGGGATGAATTACTATGGGGGATGAATTACTATATGGGGGATGAATTACTATATGGGGGATGCATTACTATATGGGTGATGAATTACTATGGGGGATGAATTACTATATGGGGGATGAATTACTATGGGGGATGAATTACTATATGGGGGGATGAATTACTATAGGGGGGATGAATTACTATGGGGGATGAATTACTATATGGGGGATTAATTACTATATGGGGGATGACTTACTATGGGGGATGAATTACTATATGAGGGATGAATTACTATATGGGGGATGAATTACTATATGGGGGATGTATTACTATATGGGGGATGAATTACTATATGGGGGATGAATTACTATATGGGGGATGAATTACTATGGGGGATGAATTACTATATGGGGGATGAATTACTATAGGGGGGGGATGAATTACTATGGGGGATGAATTACTATATGGGGGATGAATTACTATATGGGGGATGCATTACTATACGGGGGATGAATTACTATGGGGGATGAATTACTATATGGGGGATGAATTACTATATGGGGGATGAATTACTATGGGGGATGAATTACTATATGGGGGATGAATTACTATGGGGGATGAATTACTATATGGGGGATTAATTACTATGGGGGATAAATTACTATATGGGGGATTAATTACTATGAGGGATGAATTACTATATGGGTGATGAATTACTATGGGGGATGAATTACTATATGGGGGATGAATTACTATGGGGGATGAATTACTATGGGGGATGTATTTTCAGTTTTAAAAATGTGGCTCTCAAAATAAATTTCAATCGTGGTTTTGGCGAGATTTGGCTCAGTTAAAAAAAAAGGTTGCCCACCACTGCACTAGACTATCTTAGAGCCTAACCATTACATTTCTTTAACCAATAGCTTTTAATAAAAATGTTTGTAAAAACTATCTAAATACTTTTAAAACATCTATGGTGACTGTGTGGAGTCAAACTTAGATGCAAACGAAAAATGGGAACTGACCACTAGGAGAGCAAAAATCGAGTAAAGGTACAATAGCTAAATACGTGTTACCAGAGCCATCACAGTAGCCATGCAACTCTTTAGTAAATGTATTTATAGTAATTTATAATTATCTTTATTACTATTAATATTAACAGCTTCCCAACTGCGCTATATCCGAAGGACTGCTACAGCACGGTTGTCCAGTTCTGGGAGGGTGTCCATGGACGTCCTCCAAGAATGTCACAGAGTGAGGAAAGTATTGCCAATAACTGGCAAATGTGATAGGGGAGATCTGCACTGATATTTAAGGCACTGATTATCTGTGATGCTCAGCAATGCCCAGCAATGCCGCCCATCAGTGCCCAGCAGTGCCACCCAGCAGTGCCCAGTAGTGTCACCCATCAGTGCCCAGCAGTGATACCCATCAGTGCCCAGCAGTGCCTCCCATCAGTGCCCAGCAGTGTCACCCATCAGTGCCTAGCAGTGTCACTCATCCGTGCCACCCAGTAGTGTCATCCGTCAGTGCCATCTGTCAGTGCCTCCAGTCAGTGTTGCCCATCAGTGCCGCCCATCTGTGCCGCTTGTCAGTGCCCATTGGTGCTCATAATGTCTGCCTATCAGTGCATCATCGGTGCCTCCTCACCAATGCCCGCTATCAGTCAGTCTTACCCATCAGTGCCGCCTCATCAGCACCGCCTCATCAGTGCTGCCTATCAGTGCAGCCTCATCAATGCACAGCAGTGAAGGAGAAAAAGTGCCTGTTTGCAAAATTTTATAACAGAAACAAAGAAAATATTTTATTTTCAAATGTTTTGCTCTTTTTTCATTTACAGTGCAAAAAATAAAAACCCCACTTGCAATTAAATACCACCAAAAGAAAGCTCTATTTGTGGGGGAAAAAATAAGGAAAATGTCATATGGCTACAGTGTTGCATGACCGCTCAATTGTCATACAAAGTGCAACAGCACTGAAAGCTGAAAATTGGCCTGGGCACGAAGGGGGTGAAAGTGCCCAGTAGGCAAGTGGTTAAAAAATACCATCAAGTCAATGTTGAGTTCTGGTGACCACATGGATAGTGCTTCCCCAGAGTGATGTCTTTTGATCTTCAGTCTTTGCCATGGCATGGTCCTAATTTCTGTGATTATTTCTATCTACCTTACTGCTGGTCGTTTCCTTATTCTTTTGCTTCAGCTTTTCTAAGCATATTTGCCTCTTCCAGTGAGTTGGTTCTTCTCATAATATGTCCAAAATAAAACCGCTTTAGCCTAGTCATCTGACCTTCTAATGAAAGGCTACGCTTGATTTGAATGATCTATTTGTTTGTTTTCATTTCTGTCCATGGTATTCACAGAATTCTTAGCCAATACCAAAGTTTAAAGAAATCAATTTTTTTTCTGCGTTATGTCTTCATTTTCCAGCCTTTACATCCACAGAGTGACAGAACAATTGTGACCTTTGCACTTGTAGACCCATCAGTACTTCTGAAGATCTTGTGTAGGTGTTTGCTCTGTCAAGGGCCAATCTGCCTTATATTTCTTGACTGCTGGATCTTTTTTTGTTAAAATTGAATTCCAGCTATGAATTTTCCTCCAAAGTATATTGGTCCAACTTGGACCAATGAAAGTATGCATATATAATACCTGTCAAACTGCTGTGGCAGCAGAGAATCACTGTAGTAATCACCTACAGTGAAAGCTGCTGTCTTCTGGGTCCTGAATCAAGCAGCTGTCCTACTACGCTGTGAACACATGGGATTGCCTGCACAGGACAGTCATCATTCGCAGAACACCCTGCACCTGCCTCAATGATAAGTGTTTTGGACAAAGTACAGATCATGATGTCATCACACCACCTCTCCACCTCATTCAAACAGAGAATGCTTTTCATTTATTGAGAAAAATGCAAGGCATTCTTTGAATGGCATCTGTTTTGAACGAGCAACCCCCTCTGTTTATTATGCTACATGGCAGCTGCTTGGCACAGGACCCAGAAGACAACAGCAATGACTGTAGTAGTGATGACTACTACTATGCTTCTCCACTTCCACAGTGGTCCTATGGGTATGGCATATGCATACTTAAATTGGCCTATGCTGGTCCGATGTAACTATAGAAAAAAATCCATACCTAGAATTTAGCTTTAATAATTGATTCAAGGAGGAAGAAACTGTCTACCTTTTCTCTGCCTTCACCATCAGTTTTTGAGGTCCGCTTTCATGTTGTCATTACCTTATTTTTCATGATAAAGTCACATGGTTTGACTCTTTTCCTGAACTTTCACTATGAGGCCCCTGAAGTCCTCTACATTTTCAGAATATTGTCATCAGCAAATAGGAGATTGCTGATGTTTTTTCTACCACACTTCTCTCATCTTTCTCCAGCCCTGTTTCCGTAATATATCTTCAGCGTACAGGTTGAATAGGTATGGTGAGAGTATGTAGTCTTGCGTATTTCAATTGCCGATCTTGAATCGGTGTGTGTTTCTATTTTATGTCATGATATTGGCTTCTTGATAAGTGTAGAGGTTCCTCAAAAGAACAATGTATGAGATGTTTGGGTACACCCATATTTCCTGAGGACAATGGACATTGACTTTGCTGCCATAAATGAAGCACATGTTGATATCCTTCTTGTACCCTTTGACTTTTTCAGTTATCCAGCAGGCATCTGCAACATTGTCCCTAGTTCTTCTGACTTTTCTAAATCCAGCTTGTAGGTCTGATAAGTATCTTTCAGTATGTGCTTTTGTTTTGTAGCTGAGCTACATAATCCACAACTAATTATTAACTTTTTTGAAATGTGAGAAGAAGCCAGAGCACCACAATGCAACGCATAAGAACTTTCAAACTCCATGCAAAAAGCTTCCTACTTGAATTTTAACCCAGTACCCATACATCAAGGTGATATTGCTGAACAATATACCACTGCACTATGATAAATAACATATTTTTTTCTGATACATAAAATAATGTGTCCTAGTGTTGACCAATTTTCATTTTGCTGTACATTATATGAGATTAGTTGATGTGAGCTGCATTATAGGATGTAAATTATATGAAACAGAAAGAAAGTGAATTAAATTGGAATTAAATCACTTGTCAGTGGACATATTCACCTGTGTCTTTTCACTGAATTATAGCTTTTCATTTTTAAATGGCAGCCTTTTAAACATACTGTATGAAATACAATGAGCATTTCCTGGCTGACAGCTCCCAGAATGTAGATCTGCTGTTAGAAGGTGAGTCACGTTATGAAAAAAGATTGATAGATTGCATACTGGCATGGCCATGGGTGTGTATCATGCATAGTAAATTTTCCATTTTATCCTGTCTAGTAGCTATGCCACGCCTTTATCTGGGACATCATGGTACATGAAGCAATATATAACATCAGCTCCAACATCTTCTCTGATTATCATGTAACCAGCGAGGATCTATTACGGTTTAGTTTATATTTTCTTTGCTTTTAAAGGATATAACCATGCTTAAAGAACTAAGTGCAGGTTTCTGTCTCAAGGCCTTTCTAGCTGAGCTGATAGCAACCTTCTTATTTGTCTTTGTTGGTCTAGGCTCAACTCTATCATGGTCGTTGGGCATCCCAACTGTTCTTCAAATAGCCTTCACCTTCGGTTTGGGCATAGGCACTATGGTACAAGCAGTAGGTCACATAAGTGGCGCCCATATTAATCCAGCTGTTAGCATAGCCCTCCTTGTTGGGGCTCGAATCTCTTTAGTTCAGACCTTTTTCTATATCATAGCTCAGATGTTGGGTGCAGTTATAGGAGCAGCTTTACTTTCCGAGTTTGTCTCACCTGAAATCAAAGGAGGATTTGGAGTTAATCAGGTAAGTTTATGTTACAAATGACTGAAATTGTTACTGAAATAATGCCAGTATTAGATGTAATACCCAGTTTTGTGCTTTGTTATGAATGCCAGCCTTATTGAGAGCAACTTCTTTAGGAAAATTACAGCGTATATACATTATTTATGTTACATTTTTATGAGGGAATACTTGTTGGGAATGGTAACAAGCTTTGAGATTATTTAATTGTATTTGTTAGATATGTAAAATTATGTTTCCTAGCTACAGTACTAAATTGCATGGCCCTCAAGCAAGCAGGCAAAGCAAATAAATATTGTGTAATTTTAGGAGAAACCTAATAATTAAAGACAGTTTATAATCTAATAGTGGTTTCTCTCTCATATTAATCCTCTATAGTTTAGCTCTGATTAGTTATTAAAGTATAAAAAATCCAGCACATATTAAAGTATGTAAAATGCATATAAACGAATTAACTATTAATGTAATAATGTCATTGAACAGCCAAGCAACAATGTGACCTCTGGACAAGCCCTGGCCATTGAGATTGTGCTGACATTTCAACTGGTCCTCTGCATCTTTGGCTCAACAGACAGTCAGAGGTCAGATAACATTGGGTCCCCAGCCTTATCCATCGGACTTTCTGTTGTTCTGGGACACTTACTTGGGGTATGTAATAAATCATTGTCTTGTGTTACTGAGTGTTAAGCTTGTGTTAAACTATTGATATATGCATTGCAATTGGCATGGTCAGTCAAGGCACTCACCACTACTGCTGCCCAGACCATTGAACGCCATTCTGTTGTAAAGAAATTTTCATATGAAGTGCCATCAAAAACTTACACTTGTGGAAGTGTTCATTTTCTGTACCCCCACAGCAGTGGTGGAGTGGTGTCTCCAGCCTGTATCCTATAGTGACATGGCGGTTGCGGGAAGAACTACTAAGCACTACAGATGACACAGCAATTTGACACCTCCAGAAGTCTAAATTTTCGAGGACATTTTATTTTTTTCTTTTAGAGGGTTATAAGTCTATTGCACTAGTAAAGTCACATTAACATGTTGAAGTAATTGAAAGCGTATTCGTGGATGAAATGTAAAGTCATATATTTATTTCTACACAAATTCCAATTATTTCTGGCCTACTCCTAATAATCTAAGTGATCTTGAAGCCTGTAAACTTTTAAACCACCACCACCACCACCACCACCATGCTCTACCAGACCAGGCCACACGCCTTTCTGCATTGGAGGGATACTTTGTTCCCTCCTTGTATGGCACATTTGTCCTAATGTTGAGGGTCAAGGACCTCTTTCCCACATCCAATGCCCCAGGAAGGATTTTTGGAGGTAATATGGAGGGTCTAATAGTTGAATTTGGTAACTCCCATTATACTAACAAGCCCTTATATATCAACCCCTTCCAGGAAAAGTGAAGACAGGGTACATAACTCCCCCTATACCCATTTCCAAGGATTTAAATGTAAAAAACACACACTCTGATAAAAGTCCTTTATCTACAATACAATAAAAACATTTTATTAATGGCTCCAGTGTAATCCAGTGTCAATCATGTTGTCCAGTGATGCAATCCACATGTGTCTTGGCATTCAACCATGTAAACCTATCATCAGTCATAGTGACCATATACCTGTAGTGTGGGCCATCACTTATTTAGCAATGGTAGTGCGACTTGTACACATTAGTGGGTCTTTATGGTTGTCAAGGATTTACATTGTTGGACACCTTTATTGATGATGGATTTAGATTGTGTGTGTCTACAATTTTGCTTAAAAGATTTTTGCATAGCATTGTTTTTTTTTAGTTTGACAAGTTTATGGGAATGGGTAAAGGGTTCTAATGTGCCCCTGTTTTTATTCCCTCAGATATAGGGTCACTCCCATACTGTGAGGGCTTCCAGATTCCCCTTCTGTCCCTCCCATATAACCCACTAATCCTTCTTGGGGCATTAGATGTGGGGAAGAAGCCCTTGTCCCTCAACATTGGGACAAGCATGCCTTAAAAGGGGGAGAGAGATATGTGCCAGAAATTCAGTTTCATTTCGTTTTGAATGCATTCATTCATTAAAGAATTTAGTTTCATCAAATTTTTATGTTGCCCCAATTCATTTTCAGAATTTGTTTCATGTCTTTGGCATTCTTTTTGTATATTTGTTGGTCCAATTGGTGGATTCAAACAAATTTAGCAGTTTTCAGTATGATTGCTATATATTCAATACATTATTAAATAGAATGGATTAAAACCAGAAGGATTTTTTTTTTTTGGGTGCTATATCCAGCCCATCATGAGAAATGACATGAGCTGATTGGATAATATCAACTGGCATAGAATGAAACGAAATTTAGATCCATTCGTTATCCGAATCCAAATGAATTTGAAAGTTTAATTAATTTCCCCACGGGCCCAAACTACCCAATCTCATTATGTGCATTCGTTAATTTTGTTATATCTTTTTTTTTATTTCCATGACATTCTATACTATGTCCATTTGGAGATTTGTACACATCCAAATCTTGGAAAATAAAATCTTTGTTCGAAATATGAATCAGAACAAAACATAATGCACATGTCTAGGAACAGGATTTCTTGCCCCCCATCCTTGTAAGTTAGCCTCCAAATGTTGAAAAGCATGTGGCCTGGACTGGTACTAGAAGGAGGGAGAGGCGCACTCTCTGACTGTTTTCATGGCTACCCAGACTGCAAGCCTGAATAAGGGTCTTTTTGTAATTTTGGGGAAAACTTGTTGCAGACCTTTGCTTCTGAAATTGCTAGTTGCCTGGCTATCTTATGCCTTCCAATTTTCCTGAGTAACTAGCCCAGAAGAAGAAAGCAAAAAGTTATGACCTCAGTCTTACTTCAGTGGCTGCATGCATGTTCCGAGTCAGAAGATTAAACATAACTTCCAGGCAATCAGCATTTGCAAAAAGAGGTCAGCAATGGAGGCCTATCTATTTTCCCAGTTCTAAAGTCAAATTATTTTTTACCTTAAATTTTTTTTTTTTTTTACCTCTGCTACTTGTTTACCTCACCTCCAAACACTTACCTACAGGGGCGGACTGACCATTTGGAAACTCGAGCACTGCACGAGGGCTCGGGGTCAGTAGGGGGCCCCATGAGATGCCCCTGGTACCTTTTTCATAGGCTTTTTTGAGTTTGAGCAAGGACACAGGGGCCCCATGATCCCCTATTGCCTGGGGGCCCCATGAGTTGTCAGTCCGCCCCTGTTTACCTACATCTATCCAGCACTGTGCCCAAATGCAGCTCTTCCCTCCCCTCCTACTTGCTCTCACAGGCTATACTAAGAGCAACGGGAGCTATTAGCTACTGCTGTCAGTCAGATCCTGAGAGGAGGGAGCAGGGGTTGTGGCTGAGTTGCACTGTGTGTGTTTATGGACACACACAACCTGGGCCAGGCACACCAAAACGAGTGCTTCCATAGCACACAGCTTGCTATAGAGGGAACATGCAGAAGAGGAGGAGTGGATAGCAGAGGCGTGGAACCCCAGAGGAAGACGTAAGGGGCCACTATGTGCAATATTATTGCATAGGCCAGATAAGTATAAACCTCTTTTCTCTTCTAGGAAAAAAAACCCTTTAAAGTGAATGTAAAGCCAGAAATGTTTTTTGGATAGGGTTTGGGGGAGTTAAGGCCCATGACATTTTTGTTTTTGTCCCAGAGCCACAACAGGAAGTAAGACATAATACTTCTCAGATAGTGGTCACTGAAACAGGTGTCCTTGCTTTGGTTGATTTCCCTTCTCCACCTCTTCTTGTGACAACTCCATTACAAACTACAAAGCTAAAGGTGTTCATAGGTCTACAGAGTACTGATAAAAACAAGTAAGGAAGCTTGGCACTGTACAGTTGTGCCAGGGTAAAAAAGCCAAAGCCCAGAGCAGCTAGGCTGTGATCCTTAAAGTGTTGCTAAACCCACAACAATAAAATCAGTCTGTATATGCAGTAAAGCATGCTTGTTATACTCACTGTGAACCTAAGGGGTTAATCCTCCACATTGTGTAAAAAGGGCTGTTTGATCCTTTCTTCTCTGCCTCTCCTCTTGTTGAAATGTCCACCTGATACAGACTGAATCCTTAGTCACATTCACATGCTCAGTTTGGTGTGTATTGCTAGAGAGGTTTGTTTTTTGTTCTTGGGAGGGTGCATGTGATCAGCACAGGGCCAATCAGCATGGTCCAGACAGACGGCCAGGGGTTTCACATCCTCCTAGAGCAGAAAGAAAACTCCTCCTACAAGCTTTAACCAATGCTCTGCTGAAGTCACAAGACTGCTCTAACTGCTGATTAGAAAATGTATTTAGCAGTTTATATTTACTAAAATAATTGCATTTCCATGCTGTGCGTACTGTGGGAGACCAGCTATAGTGAATGCAGGGTCCTGGGTTTAGTGACACTTTAAATATACTTTAAGGATTAGTTTTCAGTGTTGACTAAAGTAAACTTTTAAAAAGGGAGGTTTGACAATATATAATACAGTGAAGCCACCATAATGAAATGATTATTCCAAACATATGTTTACTTTTTTTACTCATTTGTTTTAGATCTATTATACGGGATGTTCCATGAATCCAGCACGTTCTTTTGGTCCTGCACTAATTACAGGGAACTTTACATATCACTGGGTGAGAATTATCATTAGAATTTATTGTCTTTGTATGTCCTATAAAGAGATTATTTCTTTTGTCCTGTGCTGCATCCATTTTATGACCATGATATTGTCAGGGTCCATCATGCTACAGTCACAATTCCATGCCCTCCGGCAATACAGGCTCAGTCTAGGGGATGTCTTTTCATGAATTTATTGCAGAAACCATGAACAACCTAAAGCTGTAGATACACATGAAAGTCCCACAGTAGATCTTACTCATAATATCCCAAGAGCTGTTTGCCACCCAAGTTCCATATGACACTCGTCAGTAAGGGAGACAAAAGATCTTTCTACAGACCAGAACTCCAATATTGACCTCCAACAAGAATTCCTCCAGCAATCTTCTCTTGGCCCTCAACCCTGAAGCTGCTGAGGCCCAAACTGCAAATCTTCTCTCATACTAGCTGCCTCCCAGGGGCAATATCCCCAGGAGAACTGGAACCCTCCCAGCAGAGGAAAATAACCCTCTGGAAAGGCCTCCCAATTATTTATCACCTTCCTCAGCCACCATCTGGGTGCCCCCTCGCATTGATTGGCAAGTGTCTGATAAATATTCACTTAACCCTCCTGGCTCCATTTTATGGAATCTTCCTCAAGAAACAGACAGAAGAAATCACTCAGTCTAGGAAACCTTGGCTAGACCAGAAAAAACAGATCCTTTCTCTACTGAGTACAGTGAAGCAAAATAAAAAAAAAATACATTTAGCCTAACAGAGGCAAGGTGCTACACAGAGTTGTCAGCCCTGTCTTCTTTGCCTATCCCCTGCGGCTCTCACTTGCTTTTCACTGTTTCTTATAATTTCTTTGTTAATATTATCTTTAAACGGATTTCCGGAATGACTCAAAAGGGGTAGGACTTGTAGAAAATGGCATAGTTTACCAAAAGATGAGAAACTAAAGGTAGAGTTGAAACAGACTCATAAAAACCAAAATCATATTCTTTCACTCTCCTACACTATATGGTCAAAAGTGTGTGAACAATTATCTTTATACCTATATGAACTTGTTGGATATCCCATTCCAAGACCATTGGTATTGATGTGGAGTACTTGCCCCTAGTACAGCTAAGACATGGTCCACTCTTCTGAGAAGGCTTTCCACAAGATTTTTGAGTTTATGTGTGGGAAGGTGTGAAAATTCAGCTAAAAGAGCATTTGTGGGGTTAGATTCTGATCTTGATCAAGAAGACCTGGCTTTTATTGGTGTTCTAAATCATTCCAAAGAGGGTAAGTAGGGGTGAGGTCAAGGCTCTGTGTGGGCCACTTGAGTTCCTCCATACCAAACTCATCATACCATGTTTTTTGGAACTGGTTTATTGCTCAAGGCACAGTCATGCTGGAACAGAAAATGGCCTTCCACAAAGTTGAAAGCACACAATTGTCATAAATGTCTTTGTATGTTGTAGTATTAACAGTGCCATTCACTGAAAAATTCTGAACTTAATACCTTTGAGAAGTGTCCACATGATTTGGCCATGTAGCTGGCAAGATGGTCAGGTGTTCACAAAGTTTTGGATATATAGTGCATATTGCTACATAAGAATGAAAGAAGATTCTGAATGTATCCTATGGGGCATAAGGAAATGTTCTTCCATCACACCTGAAAAAAAAACAAAGACCTTTTGTATGTTAAGTAAGTTAAATTTGGAATAAGCTATAAACTTTCTTTTTTTTTATCCAACTTACAGATTTTTTGGGTGGGACCAATAACAGGAGCCATACTGGCTTGTCTAGTTTATGACTATCTGTTTGTACCCTATTCAATAACCACCAGTGAGAGAATGGAAATCCTGCGTGGCAACACACAAGAGAATGAGAAAGAGGAAAGAAGGAAACAATCTGTAGCCCTCAATTCCCTCTACAGCCAATCAAATCATAGAGAAAAAGTGTAACACGAAGCATGAGTAACCCTAATCTGACACTTTACATGACGGCACTTTCACCTCTGGAAAAATGTTGACATTAAACCACCTCAGGGAAGAACATATAAGAACTGAAATATGGCAGCTAACATTGCTGACTTGTTTGTAATGGGCTTTGATCCATGTTCTCCTTCTTTCTGTTGACCCCAATCAAGTATGTGCATCAAATGCCCCAATAATTCATTGGCTTAATCCTTGCATCAGGTCAGTGACCTAGCAATATAGTAAGGATACGGATGACAGCCTCAAATCTCGCCCAGTAAGCAAGTCAGCAATCTTTCATTTTCTCCACTCTGCCAGCACCTATGGGGAGATGTTTCTATGAAAACTGAGTTAGTGAAAGGTTTAAGTATCACCTTTAAAATAAAATTATTACCATGTAAATATATATTTTCTGTATATATACATACATAACAGTTTGATGTGTCAGAAGCTAAAACACATCCAGGGAATGACGCATTAATGTTTATATTCTGAACAGATAGATAAAATCATTTAATAGTCAAAGGTAACTGTATATATTTTATTGTCAGATTTTCAGTTGTAATGAAGGCACAAAAAAAAAACCTGGAAAGAATTGTATATTACAAAACACTAGAAATGGACATAGACACTATTTAGAATAGTGTTGTGCTTTGGCAAGACAAATGAAAGTGCCTGCAACAGATTGATGTACTTGTTTCAAATAGGTACATGTACTTATTAAGGAAGCAATCAGACCAGAATGCCCACAATGGACTTCAGCTTTAGGGCCTCTTCACACTACATGTGTTTCAGTTGCTTTTTTCTGCATCCAAATCGCACAGAAAGTAAGTTATATGGTTGTCAATGTCATAGTTCACATCAGTGCTTGCAGTTCCAGTGCCGTCCGTTTGCAGAAAAAAAAGAAGAACAGGCTGCATTTTTTCTGCACAGAACTGTACTGGAATGCGGCAAAATACACTTCTCCCTTTTTAAGTTGAAGAAAAAGAGAGGGGAAAAAAATTAACTGGAATGCATTAAAAACGTACCAGAATGTGTCAAAAATGTGCATGCAGAAACACATCAAGAGTGCATCTGGACTGAATTGCTATAGTGTGAACCAGCCCTTAGTGCGTATTCAATGCCTGGGCCGCACAGCATCTTTGTTGCTAGGACACTATAACTTGTGCAATCAATAACATCCTAGCAGCTGAAGCATCCCTGGCCCATTCAGTTGCCAGCCAGGAGATTCCCGTCATTGATCTAATATGACCATTACCGTATTTAGGCAATGATGGCAGCCAGCACCCAATCAATGTGTACATACATTCAGCTGTCATCTGAATGCATAAATGTTTGCTGGGAAGCTGGCGACTGCTGGAGTCCTAGCAACCAATTAGTTCTGCCAGGCATGCCATTCATGACAGCCTCTTGTAAACATGCCCCACAGAGCAATGGCATGTTTCTGTACGCCAACTTATTATTCATCTTCATAACCGCCAGTTTGCTTATTTGTAAACCCGGGATAATTCTTTTTGAATTTGTTGCTACCATAGCAACATCTTCTTAAAATGCCGCAAATAAGAACTACCTAACTCTGTTGTACATGTCAGAACTGTTGCTAGACTAGCATGATTTAGGCGCAGACCATTTTCAAGAGACCTTACAGCCATTCATTTTGAATTGTTTCAAATTAATCTAATAAATATTAATATCTTTGTTGTTTATGGCAACCAATCAGCTTTCAACTGCCATTTCTGAAGTCCTGTGCTGAGATTAAACATGGTTACCATTGACAGTAAGAAATGTTCCTGTAGGCACACTTCATTTTCCAAAGTTAGACTCGAATAGCTTTGATATAAAAGGAAAAGGGGCAGTTGTGGGGGGTGTCAGGTGCTCTTTGTAATATATATTTTAATTTTTAAAAGTGTGGGAGATTATTTGTTAGCAATAAAGGGGGAAGGCTGTTATTGCACCAGCTTTGTGGAGTTATTTGTATTTTTAGTTGCGTCTTTGCCAAACTTGCACTCCTTAAGCTATTTTGCACACTAGCAGCCAAAACACAATGTGGGGAATATAGCAGCTGTGCATGGGGACCAATCAGCTTCTATCTTCAGCTTGTTGAGTTAAAGTGGTTCTAAAGTCAAAAGTTTTTTAAACCTTAAGGCTGGCCATACATTATACAATTTTCTTGAGATTTTTGGTTTAGATTGACCAAAAACCATATAATAGGAGGTAAAACCTAACAACACTTTGAATTGTATCCAATTAGGCAGGCTCTTGTACTACATAGTTTAAGGTAAATCTAAAGGAAATTGGAAAGAAAATTGTATAGTGTATGGCCAGCCTAACTCATTCTACACATTAAGGTACAAAATGCTCCACTACCTGTCCTAGTCCCCCCTCTCCGCCCCAAAACATTTACCTCTCACCATTCCAGCACTGTCCCAGCTTGAGCACCATTCCTCCACTCCCTAGTCTTGCAGGAGACTCTGAAAGCAGAGCCATAGGCTCCTGCTGCTCTCAGTCAAACTCCTGTGGGGAGGGAGAAGAGGCGTGGCTTACCAGCAGTGTGTGTGTGTCTATGGATGCACACAGCCTGGCTCAAGAGTGCACCCACATGGGTGTCCCCATAGCACACAGCTTGCTGAGGGGGCACCCGAAAGAAAGAGGAGCAGACAGCATTGGCAGGGGACTCCAAAAGAAGAGGTAAGGGATCGGTCTGTGCAATATCATTGAACAAAGCAGGTAAAAATAACATGTTTATTTTAAATTTAAAAAAAAATACTTTTAATATCACTTTAAAGTATAATTAAAGGTTTCTGTTTTTTTCGTTTTGAATACAATGGAGAGGGATTAGAACTCCTGTCAGATTTTATTGCTGTCTGTGTCCCCATTAAGGAGATTACTCCTTTCTATTTTTCCTGTGTACCATTATCATTGAAAGTAAAAATAAAGAAAATCCCAAATTTTGGGTTGTCCCCAAAACAGTAGTAGAGGGAAAATCTTCCAAATTGGACACTCGTTCTGGTGACCTGGGGGTCCCCAAGAGATTTTCTTAGTTTGCAGGGCTTTCATTGACTTCTTGTTTGGCTATGGGACAGTGAAGGGAAATCTCTAAAACGGGATACAGATGGTGAAAAAAATTCTGATGGGTTATAACCCTTCTTTACTCTATCCAAAATAAAAAATAAAGTTTTGCCTTTAGTTATTTCAGGTACTTATATAGCGCCGTCAATTTACACAGTGCTTTACGCATATATATTGTACATTCACATCAGTCCCCAACCCTCAAGGGGTGTACAATCTAAGGTCCCTAACTCACATTCATACATAAACATACTAGGGCCAATTTAGACAGGATCCAATTCACCTACCAGCATGTCTTTGGAGTGTGGGAGGAAACCGGAGTACTTGGAGGAAACCCACGCAGGCACAGGGAGAACATGCAAACTCCAGGCAGGTGGTGCCTTGGTTGGGATTCGAACCAACCACCCTAGTACTGCCAGGTGGAAGTGCTAACCATTTAGCCACTGTGCTGCCCAATTCTACTTTAAGTTTTGAAAATGTAAAAATAGAAGCTGATTGGTTGTCATCCACATCTGCTCCAGATTCTGACTGCACAAGTTTTAGTAAATTCTCCTCAATGTGCAGTAAACCGATAACAACTAATCAGAATTTGTTTTTCTGTCAGATTGGTAGAAGACTGATTCAACTTGGCTATTATAGGTACTGAATTTTGTTGCTTTTATCTAGCTCTGAGTATGACTGCTAATATTAATGTGAAAATACAACTTGCTTGTATGAATCTGCTATATGTAAATAAATAATGTTTGTATATAGTATTCTCACTTTTTTGTGTTTTTCAATAGTTTATGTTTTTAGTTTATTTGCTGTACATACAAGCCAGCTACATTATGTTAGATACATTATATTTTCACTTCCTCCTGGCATCAGAAAGGCCATCTTTTGATCCACTCATACCCTTACCACAGAAGGCCTCTGTTTTATCCATTTTATAGTAGACCTGACACCTATATACAACAACACATTATATATGTAGGTCAGTTTGCAAGCTTTTGTTTAAAAATGGGTATGGGTAGCTGGGCATGGGCTGCCAACGGGGAATATACCAATGTACCAACATGGATTAAACGCAGGGGCGGACTGACAACTCATGGGGCCCCCGGGCAATAGGGGATCATGGGGCCCCTGTGTCCTGGCCCAAACTCAAAAAAGCCTATGAAAAAGGTACCAGGGGCATCTCATGGGGCCCCCTACTGACCCCGGGCCCTCGGGCAGTGCCCGAGTTTCCAAATGGTCAGTCCGCCCCTGATTAAACGGCAACATTTAATATACACAATTCCTTTAAATAATTCTAAATAAACATGCACATGATGTGAAAATCTGTACCATGTACTTCTGCAAAAGTGAAATTGGAAAAAATCATTTTAAAATGCTGCTTTTTCCTAGATGGCTTTTTGTTTGAAAACAATAGTGTGGGGCCCCCAAAAAATCCATACCAGACCCTTATTCTTGATAAGGTTCTAGTATGGATTTGGAGAAGAACCCCAGTCAAAAAAAACTGAAGAATGGCTTGGGGTCCCCCTAAAAACCCATACCAAACCCTTATCCAGCATGCAGCCTTGATAGTCAGGAAGAAGGGGGAGTGGTGCATTGAGCATGCAGCCCCCCTCCCTTCCTTTTGAACCATACCAGCTCACATACCTGACAAGGACTTCATGCCCACATTCCTGGTCCAGTGCATGTGAGAGTCTGCAGGGGGGAGGACTTACCTCTTGTTACTCATTCATAAAAAAAATGTACAATATAACAAACACAAAGGCACAATTGATAAAGCTTTATTTTAACCGCTTCAGCGCTGGAAGAGTTACCCCCCTTCATGACCAGCCTGTTTTTTACAATACTGCACTGTGTTACTTTAACTGGCAATCTTGCAATCATGCAACACTGTAAATAAATTAAATTTATATCATTTTTTTCCCCAC